GGAGGCAGAGGCAGGCAGATCTCTGTGAGTTCGAGACCAGCCTGGTCTACAAGAGCTAGTTCCAGGACAGGCTCCAAAACCACAGAGAAACCCTGTCTCGAAAAACCAAACCAAACAAAACAAAACAAAAAAGATGGATGGTGCTGGTCCAAGATGTGTTCGGTAAGCACTAGAGGAGAGAAGCTCAGCTCGGGAGTGCACTGGTGCTTGCTTTTGTCCCCACTGGAAGGCTTCCACGTCGTCATTCTGTTCATCCCCCCCTTCTCCCTCTAGGGAGGTGTTCGAGCCAACAATGGAAAGAGGTGAACTGGTAGTCAGGTATCGTGTCCGAAAGTCCTACAGTCGCCGGACCACCGAAGCCACCTGTAAGTGAACTCCATGTCTCCTTGAGAGAGAGAGAGAGAGAGTGGCTTAAATACAAGAGAGAGAGAGAGAGAGAGAGAGAGAGAGAGAGAGAGAGAGAGAGAGAGAGAGAGAGAGGGGTCTCTGTTGGCAGAGGCTGCTTGTTCATTCCCGGCCATTCAGACCCAAAATAATTACACACTGCATGCCCAATAGCTTAAGCATCTTTCTAGCTAGCTCTTACATCTTTTTAAAAAATATTTATTTATTTACTTATTATGTACACAATATTCTGTCTTCATGTATGCCTGCAGGTCAGAAGAGGGCACCAAGTTGTGAACCACCATGTGGTTGCCGGGAATTGAACTCAAGACCTTTGGAAGAGTAGGCAATGCTCTTAACCACTGAGCCATCTCTCCAGCCCTAGCTCTTACATCTTAAATTAGCCCATTTCTATTAATGTGTGTATTACCACAAGGTTTATGGTTTACTGGTAAAGTTCCCGGGCATCTGTCTCCTATCCCTCTTTCCTGGGATCTCTCTCTCCTCCTCCTCCCTCTCTCCTTTCTTCCCTCCCTCCCTCTTTTACTCCTTCTCCCCTCCCTATCCCTCTTTTCTGGAGCTGTAACTCAGGGCCTTGCATCTCCTAGGCAAGCAGGGTAGCACAGTGATGTATACTATTGACTTTTTGAGGCAGTGTCTCACCATGTAGCTCAGGCTAGCCTTGAACTTGCCATCCTCCTGCCTCAGCTTTCCGTATTCTGGCATTACATGCATGTGCCACCATATACGACTTGAAGTCAGTACTCCTAACCACCACACCCTGAAATGGCCTCTTGGAACTATAGAATGTTAGAAAAAAAATCCATAGAATTGATAGACTCAATCTTGGTCTGAAAAACAATATGCTCAGCACTGAGCCTCTTATAGTTTTGAAAATCACAGGGTCTTAGAACCAAATTCCCTGTAAATCATGGAGTCCCAGAAGGTCCAAGCTAAGGAGGACCTTCAGAGGCACCACTCATGAAAGCGCCTCAGCTTTCCAACTGGGGAAACTGAAACCCAGAGCACAAAGAGACAGAACTAAGTCTAGATCTAGCACACAGACTGCCAGGGTCCCAGGGGATGCTGGGAAGGTCTGGGAAAGACATTTATTTACGAAGAGAGACACAGCAGTAGGAAGGCCGCAGTGATTCAATGGGGTAATACACAGCCTCAGTTCTCGCAGCATGAGCCTGGTCCCGAGAGGTTCCTGAGACCTGGGCTGGACAGCCATGAGGTCAAAGTGATTTTCACAGTAGCATCGTCACCAAGATCCTGCTTCTTCTTTTGCACCCTCATTCCTCATAAACTTTCAAGGGAGTTTCCCTTAGGCTCCCTGATCTGTAATAATATCATCAACAACCTGTAGACAAAGAAACATATGCTTGTGTGTTACTGTGTTTTTAAAAAGCTATTGTCAGGGGCTGGAGAGATGGCTCAGTAGTTAAGAGCATTGGCTGTCCTTCCAGAGATCCTGGATTCGATTCCAGGCCACCACATGGTTGCTCACAAACAGCAAGATCTCCTGTGCCAGGGTATCTAATGCCCTCTTCTGGCCTCCATGGGTACTGTATACACATGGTGCACAGATACACTTGCAGACAAAACACCCATGCATACATATACATAAACAAAAATCAAAAATAAAATAAACTATTACCTTAAACAGGACATGGTTGCAGATAGTGGGAGGCTAAAGTCGGAACATTGAGAGCTTAAGGCTTGCCTGGGCTAGGTTGAGTTCAAGCCTAGCCCATGTAACTTAGTGAAGACTGTCTCAAAAGAAAAGGTAAAAACAGGTCTGAAGGGGGGCTGGAGAAATGACTCAGTGGTTAAGAGCATTGCTTGCTATTCCAAAGGTCCTGAGTTCAATTCCCAGCAACCACATGGTGGCTCACAACCACGTATAATGAAGTCTGGTGCCCTCTTCTGGCCTGCAGGCATATATTGTGTAATATATATATTAAAAAGAGGTCTGGAGATGTAGCTCAATGCTCAGTGGTAGAGCCCCTGTCTAGAATCCCCCAGTGAGGAGCCGAGAACATAGCTAGGTAGGTTGAACTGCATATTAAGACCTTTTTAAAAATAAACTGAATGCAATGTCTTCTGCACTACCCAATAATATTTTATTGTTGTTGTTTGTTTGTTTGTTTTTCCTTGAGACAGGGTTTCTCTGGAGGCTATCCTGGTACTAGCTCTGTATACCAGGCTGGCCTCAAACTCACTGAGATCCACCTGTCTCTGCCTTCCGAGTGCTGGGATTAAAGGCATGTACCACCACCACCCAGCACCCGACCCTAATAATATTCTTATACGAAGATTATGGATACTGTTTTGTTTTGTTGTTGGTAGTGGTTTATTGTTTGAGACAGGATCTCAGTATATAACCCCTACTGGCCTCAAATTCATTATGTAGGCCACGCTGGCCTTAAACTCACAGAGATATGCCTGCTTCTGCTTTCTGAGTGTTAAAAATGTATGTTTTTGAGACTGGCCCCTTATGTAGCCCAGTCTAGCCTCAAGCTCGCAGCAATTTGCCTGTTTTTCCTCCCTGAGGAGGACTAGAAGAATATTATATCATAGCTGATCTTACTTATTTTGTAATCACATAATTATAATATTTATGGGGTGCAGTTTCTGGAATACAGGGGAATAGTTAGATAATTGTGTAGCCTGTGTAATTATCAAGTCTGGGTGATTAGCTTACTAGACTTTCCATCTTCTCCAAATGCTTGTCGTTTCTTTGTTCTGGTGACTGTGTTTAACGGCTGGTACAGAGGCTACGGACCAACTAGGGTGCTCACTGGAGCAAGATTGTGGCCAGGTTTTCACCTTGTAGCTACTGCTTCAGGGCAGATTTAGAGGCCATGGGAGCTGGAATAGATTGGCTGCTCGGGACTGGAGCTAATTTTGAAGCAATGCAGAAGTAGTTCAGTGACCCAACAATGGGTCCCTCTGGGCACATACTGCCCGGACATCAACCCTGCCATGCTGCTCTGTCCACTCTTTTCAGTGAACAGCCTGGGCATCAGTGAAGAACTGAAGGAGAAACTACGAGATGTCATGGTAGACCGGCATAAGGTGGCCTTGGGGAAGACCCTGGGTGAAGGTGAGTCAAACACCACACACACACACACACACACACACACACACACACACACACACACGATCCACCAGAACCCTGAGATTCCTCTCTCCCCAGTTCTCAGCCAACTGGAGGAAACACTATCCCCATGGGTCCTGCTGAGGTCAGTGTCTTCCTTCTTCTGCCACAGGAGAGTTTGGTGCTGTGATGGAGGGCCAGCTCAACCAGGATGACTCCATCCTCAAGGTTGCTGTAAAGACAATGAAAAGTGAGTATGTGAACATGTGTGTGCACATGCAGGGCCCAGTCCCTAACCCGAGCCTTTTCCCTATACCCTGGGAAAGCATCTGCTAGAAAATGGAGCCCATGCCAGACCCTTGAATAGAAGGAACTGAATGCAGGGACACTGCTATCATGTTAAATGGAGGTCGGATTGACATGCTAACCCAGGCATCAAAACAAACAGATTAGCAACAACAGGAAGTCTCTTCCACCTCTAGGCTGAAGGGCAGAGGGAGGATACTGTTGCCAGAGCCATGGCCAGCAAGAAGTTGAGAATACACAGAATGAAGTGTTTCCATGAGGGAGTTAGAGACCTGATGAGCCTCCTTCCTTGTCTTTAAAATTGGCTAATAAGGTGGCCTAAACCCATATCCCCAACATTTGACACCTTGTTTGAAAATAAGAAAACCAGGTGATTCAGTGGTAGAGCCCCTGCCTAGAATTCCCCAGTGAGGGGCAAGGGTGTGGCCCAGTGGTAGAGCCCCTGCCTAGAATCCCCCAGTGAGGGGCTGGGGTGTGGCTCAGTGGTAGAGCCCCTGCCTAGAATCCCCCAGTGAAGGTCTAGGGTATAGCTCAGTAGTAGAATAATGTTTGGTTGGAATTTGCCATGGAAGGACTAAGACCATGGCTCACCAATAGAGTCCTTGGCTAGACTCTCCCTCTAGGGGGATCGCCTTGCCTTTGCAAGACCCTGGGCTCCTCCCCAGGCACCCTGTAAATAAGCAAATAAGCTCACACTATGAGGATAATAAGCTCATACCTATTGAGGACAAAATCATTTAACACAGGTAAAACAGTGAGCCTGGCATCTTACAATTCAGTAATAACACGTGATGAAGATGAGGGTGATGATGCTGGAGCAGGAGGGAAGGAGACATCCTCTTTCTCCCTTGTCACTCACCTCTTTTTCTCTCCTAAGTTGCCATCTGCACAAGATCAGAGCTAGAGGATTTTCTGAGTGAAGCTGTCTGCATGAAGGAATTCGACCACCCCAACGTCATGAGGCTCATTGGTGAGGGAGGGGCGTGTTACCTTGGGGCCACCCAGAGCACAGACCACTCTATTCTGTATGGGGAAAGATCAAACTTCCAGGCCCCCCACCCCCTCTCCTTCAGGATCAGCCAGCTCCCCTTCTTCGCTCCCTCAACTTGGAATGTGACCTCTGACCTGTTCCCAGAAATAGCTGAGGTCCCCAGGAGGGCTCCGGAAACATCCTTGGGAAAGGGCTTCTCTGAAGTTGGAGTCCCTACTACTCACCTCCCAAACAATGTGGAGATTAGATTTGAGGGGGTGGGGAAGGGGAAGGCTGAGTTTGTCTGGGAGCGGGGTTGGGTCCCCCTTTTCTGCATAGCCAGAATGACGGATCTCGCTCTTGGGGGGGGGCTCAGGTGTCTGTTTCCAGGGTTCTGACCGAGAAGGTTTCCCAGAACCTGTGGTCATCTTGCCTTTCATGAAACATGGAGACCTACACAGTTTCCTCCTGTATTCCCGGCTCGGGGACCAGCCAGTGGTGAGGGGCATTCCTTCTTCCAGCCCATGCATATTCCCTGGCCGCCTACCAGCTACTGAGAGGGAAGGCCACAGTGGACTCACTCTCTCGGATCTCGCACTGCAGGGGTAGCCAAAGCAATAAATAAGTTAACAGAAATAAGCGAGAGCATTAAGTGCTCGGAGGAAATGAAGAAGAAAGAATGATAAGGAGGCCTGGGAATTAGTTTGGGTGGAGGGAAGGCCTGACTGAAGGGTGGCACTGAAGGAATTGCTGGCTGAGGGATATTGGGAGATCCAGGAAGGAAGCAATCCCAACCTACCACTTAACAGGGCCCAGGGTCTGAAGACCAGGAAGACCCACCCCCACCCTCATCCACCCAGCCCCCGCCCCCGCTGGCGTCCAAGTCAAAGGCTAGAACAATAACCCACCAAGTCAGAGAGAGGTAGATTTGCTAGGATCCTATATCTATGGAAAAGCTACAGGAAAAGCTGATGTTCTCAAAGCCATGGAGAACCACAGCAGATGCAGCTAGGCTCACACAAGGAGGGAAGGAGGGCTAAGGAGTGAGACCGCTCCTTCTCTCGGCCTTACCACCCCCTCCCCACCCCTCAGTTTCTGCCCACTCAGATGCTGGTGAAGTTCATGGCCGACATTGCCAGTGGAATGGAGTACCTGAGTACCAAGAGATTCATACACCGGGACCTGGCCGCCAGGAACTGTATGTGAGTGGCAAGTGTGCTAGAGGGGCTTCTTTCCCCTTCCCCAGGAAGAAAGAGGGACTGGAGCCAGTGAAGGTTGGAGCCCCAGACAGGTGTGGTAATCAACTTTACGTGGCTGTGACAAAAACAAAACAGATAACCAAGTGAAAGAGGAAAGGTGGATTCCAGCTCAGGCTTTTCGGGATTCCAGGCCACAGTCACCTGGGATGACCCGTTGGGAGGTGTGGGATCGTTAATAGGCAGCGCGGTAAAGCAGAACTGCTAACCTTGAGGGAGCTGGAAACCAGAGAGACACAGAGCCCCATCAGAGGTACCTCCCTACTGATCTACTGCCTCCAACTAGATAATGTCTCATGATAGCCACTCAGCTGTGAACCAGCCAGTGGATAGCAAGCATCCCACTGGGCAGCTCTCCGGAGCACCACTAGCTGGGGACCAAGCCCTCAGCACATCATCATCCCCCTTTGCAGGGTGACACGTCACATCCAAATCGTAAAAGGCCAACAAGGAGGTCCTAAACTGCGGTCTCTACTGTTGTTTATTTGTCTTGAACCCTGAAATGTAGACCAGGCTGGCCTTAAACTCATAGAGATCCCCTCCCTCTGCCTCCTGAATGCTGGGATTAAAAGCATGTGCCACCACACCAGGCTAAACTGAGGTCTTGAAGGACGGTTTGGATGTGGAGCGTGAAGAGAAGGGAGGCAGGGGCAGCTCATTGCATAGCACAAGGTTTGAAAGGATCTCGAGACTGATTAAAAAAAAAAAAAACTCAAGCTGAAAAATCTTCTAGAAGCCCCTTTTGTCCAGACTCAGCCTGGCAGGAAGAAGTAAAGCAAGCACTTCCCCTTGGAACTAGGGTGAGTGCTCAGGAGTCAGACTCCAAACCCCCATCAGGACAGTGGGGTCTGGTGAGAGGTGAAGGCATATCTGAGACCCAGCAGACTTCCTGGTAGTCATGACCCATGATGACCTTATTGCTTACCCCAATCTGAACAGGCTGAATGAGAACATGTCCGTGTGTGTAGCAGACTTCGGGCTTTCCAAGAAGATATACAACGGGGACTACTACCGCCAAGGGCGTATCGCCAAGATGCCAGTCAAGTGGATTGCCATTGAGAGTCTGGCAGATCGAGTCTACACCAGCAAGAGTGATGTGGTAGGTGTGCCCCAGCCAGGAGTAGGTGATCATGCAGAGCATGGAATGGGTAACCAGACCTGAGAAACTCCAGGGCTCACAGGACCTGTCTGTGGGGCCTGGACATGTTTGGGGAATGTAGGAAAGGTATGTGTGCATGGCTAGAATATATAGAGATGTGCAGGTTCATCTCTGCATAGTGGCAGGGTGGGCAGTTTAGGATAGGAAGCAGTGGTGACCAAGTGTGCCATACAGTGTTTGCAACGTGGACATGAAGAGTGACATGTGACATGTGAATTGTGCATGGATGTGCATATCTCTACATCCTGCTAAGTCAGTCATGTGTGTGTGTGTGCGCGCACGTGTGTGCTTGTGTGTGTGTGCGTTCGTGTGTGTGTGTGTGTGTGTGTGTGTGTATACCTATGCCAAAATTTTTCGGTGCATACTTGTGATACATCCATAGATACCATTGTCAACAAATGCCCATGTAAGTGTTGAGTGCATGCCTGAACTTATGTGTTGGAGGTGTCTTTGTGTAGGAAAGACCCCTCACTCCCTTCCCTACTCTGACAGTGGTCCTTTGGCGTGACAATGTGGGAAATCGCCACCCGAGGCCAAACCCCCTATCCAGGAGTGGAGAACAGTGAGATTTACGACTACCTACGCCAAGGAAATCGCCTGAAACAGCCAGTGGACTGCCTGGATGGCCTGTAAGGACCTTTGGGACTTCCCAACTCCACCTCAGAATGTACTCCAGCCCTTAGTTACCCACACAGAACACTCAACATCTCCAGGACTGGCGAAATGAGCATGGAATCCCTTAGAATACTGAGAAACCCATTTGCCTCTCCCCGATGCCCTGAGCCACTGCGCCACTCCTCGTCAGGCCGTGGGGTGCAAGTTCGGTAAAGGTGCCTTTTCCAGCTCTGCCTGTTGTGTGGAATGCAGGCTGGGTCAACCCCTTTCTGCCTCAGCCAGGTATTCTTAAACAACTGCATCAACCTTCCTGGGCAGCCCTGGCTTTGGGATACCAACCTCCTATGGTCCCTCACCTCTCATGTGCCTCACTGCCTGGGGTCCCTTTTCCAGACTCTCAGATCTCTGAGCTGCTGGCAGGATCCTTCGGGATAGCTTATCAATCTTTGCGGCGTCTCAGCGTGCAGAGGAGGGTGTGACATTTAGCCAGTGCTTTGAGGTTAAAGAGAGTATGTAGCTTGGGTCAGGAGGAGGCAGCATGAAATTCAGACTCCCCAGGCTTCCTTTGGGCACTCTTAGACCCAAAGAGGACGAGATTAATCACTAGTCATTTACAGAATTTACTGGAAGGCAATGCTTTGCTTGTATTGACTCCTTGGGTCCCTTCCACGGTCAAAAGAAGTAGATAGGCGTTGCTATCCGAGTTTTGCAGATGAGAAAATTCAAGTCTATGGGGGGGGGGGGGCAACACGACAGGGATGGAGCATATCATGTGCCACACTTCAAAATCCCATAGTTTAAAACCAGAAAACGTTGATTTCATAATGTCTGAAGATCAGAGTCTGAAAGCAGCTTAGAAGGGTGGTTCTGCAGATCTGGAACAAGGTTATCAAGGTGGCTACGTGTGAAACCCAGAAGCAAGAAAGCCATTTTCAAGACAGCATCTCACATGACTGGGGCAAGAAGCCTGTTCCTTACCATGGGGACCTTCATAAGGTCACTTGCGCTTCCTCACACAACAATCCAATGTACAAGAGAATGTACAAAGGGTAGTAGCCACAATGCCTTTTATGACTTCCTGTTAGAAGTCAAACATGTGCCATCTCTTCTGCTGAGCCAGTAGCAAATCCGTACACTCAAGGAGAGGGGCCTTAGTCTCAAGCTTTTGAATGGTGGGGTGTCAAAGAATGTGAGGACATAGGTAGATCAGTCTAAAAGACTTCTAATTCATCCCCGTCTCCCCTAGGTTTTCTCCACCCACGATGTGCTTGGTAAATGGCAGAGCCAGGCCTTATATGAGATTCTATTCTGGGTGGCCATTCTGGGACAGTCTACTCTCAAATCCTCACTAAAAACACCTGAGATCCAGAGAGGTTTCCTAAGGTTTTTCCCAGTTTCAACATCTCCTGGCCCACTCCAGAAACTTGGAAATTTTCAACTCCCTGTAGATATGTCTAAGCTGCTGAGGTTGTCTGTAGTCCCCAGCCACCCGAGGGTCCTAAAGCCTCCCCTGAACTAGACTGCTCCCCTTCGGAGTCCCTGCTCAGTTGGCCATTTGCTTTACCATTGTAGGTATGTCCTGATGTCCCGGTGCTGGGAGCTAAACCCACGGGACCGGCCAAGTTTTACAGAGCTTCGGGAAGACCTGGAGAACACGTTGAAGGCTCTGCCCCCTGCTCAGGAGCCTGATGAAATCCTCTATGTCAACATGGATGAGGGCGGAAGCCACCTTGAACCCCGCGGTGCTGCTGGAGGAGCTGACCCCTCAACCCACCCTGACCCAAAGGATTCCTGTAGCTGTCTCACTGCAGCTGAAGTCCATGCTGCTGGGCGCTACGTCCTCTGTCCTTCTACAGCTCCAGGACCCACTGTGTCTACTGACAGAGGCTTCCCAGCACCCCCAGGGCAGGAGGATGGGGCTTGAGACAATCTTCCACCTGGGACGCCCTCTCAAGAGCCAAGCTAGGCACTGCCACTGGGGGAACCTACCCCCACTTTGCCACTCCAGGCCTTCTCCCCAACTGCAGCATGGCCTTCCATCCCTTCTCAAATTCTGCACAGAAAGGTGTGTTCTGCTTTCTGTGCCATAGACATCCCATCCATAGAAAGAAGGGTTGGGTTGCAGTCTTGGAAAATTTAAGTCCCAGCATTCTAAAGTCTAAGGTTAGAGACTAGATTTCAAGGTTCTAGGTCCCAAAGATGACTTAAGTGCTTGGGTCTAAGGAATCAAGATGCTGATTTCTAGGTATCAAGTGCTATTTGTTGTAAACATGGCCCACTGTTCAAAGGTTCTGAGATTCTGTGACTCTAGATTTTTCTGGTTCTAAAACATCATGCCCCCATGGTTTTTCAGTTGCCCGACTCTGAGAGTACTGGATCTAAGACCTTGTGGTTCTAGACTTTATTTTTCTGGAGCCCGAGATCCTAGGAGTGGAAGCTTCTAGATTTTAAAATTCTAAAGGTTCTAGGCATGAAGGTTCTAAAGCATACTGTTCTCAAATTTAACAGCTCTTCATGTTGTAATACTCCAGATCATAATGTTTCAAACTTTTATTTTCTTAATTTCTAAGATTCCAGTAATGATCAATTACAGCTTCTGAGGCATTATGATTATAGGTTCTTTTATATAAGATCCCACATCTCAAGGGAATAAGACTCTAGAATCTGAAATCCAAAAGCTTTAAGAGTCTAGCTAAGTTTCTGAGGTATGTGATGATAATCTAGAATGTGGTCCAAGATTTCACACCATATGCTCCAAGATTACAGTCAGTAAACTCTAAAGCTCTGATGTTGGCCTGCTCTTGATCTCAGGCACTATAAGATGCTGTGGGTCCAAGACTCTGGGTCCCAAGAGGCTCACAGTTAATTGTGACTAACTAGACACCAAAGTCCTAACCATTTCTAATGCTGGGCACCTCTTGGTTCTGTGTTGCCTTCTGCCTTTCTAGCACTTAATTAAAGGTTCAAGGATACATATTTCTAAAAATATTAAGGATCTAAGCACAGTAATTTAGGAATTCAATGTTCTGAGGGTTTAAGGTTCACAGGTCTAGAATATTAGGTACGATGCCAAGGTTGGAACCTTGCGGCATTCTTCTCTCTAAGCCCTTTCCCTCCTTAGCCGCCTATGCACCCTCCTCTCTTTGTGTGGGGTGTACCCACCTGAAGCCTGTGCAATGCATTGGGAATGTCTTTCCTCTAAGGAATGGACCATCCCCCTCCTTTTGGGCCATGTTGCCTCCTTGAGCCAGTCCCTCATCCCTGTCTAACGTGTGGACTCTGGTGCTTCCAGAGAGGCTCAGATCACATAAAACTTTTGTCAATCACTGTTCTGTCTCCTGTCTCCATTCAGCTGTGCTATGGCCCCTTTCCCTGGAGATTCCATTTCCCCATTGTAGAAAGAAGCGCTGCTATGTGCAGTGGAAGTGCAGGCCTGAGGATGGAGGACTGCTTGTAGGCTATCATGGCTTACATAGAGGAGCTCTATCTCAAAAAGAAGTAAAGGGATAAGAATGTTTTCTTCATTTTGGATGGTAGACATGAACCATGCACATAGACAAATATGTACGACTGAAGAAAGGCAGGCTCTCCGAAAGCTGTGAGAAACGTGTGAGCACACATGTGCACACCCACTCAATATACATATATTAGAAATTGTATGTATTTACATATGTATGCACATATATAGAAGTATATATGGAAACACAAAGAGATTGTAGGTCTTATACACACACACCAAAGTAACAGATGTGAATTACTAAACATGTACTGGTACACCTAGACACGAATACAAACACACAGCTATTCAGCCACAGTAACAGAAACACAGAAACCCACACTCGCAAATCTGCAAACATCAACAGGCTGGTACTCACCAGCAATAGGAAAAAAATCGTTAGTAACCAAGACACAGAATGGCATTACACATATTTGAGAATCAGATGTGTGCCTGTAATCCCAGCACGAGTGAGGTGTAAGCAGGAAGCTCAAGGGTTCAAACTCATTCCTGATTCCACAGAGAGATCCAGGTCAGTCTGGGCTATGTGAGACCCTGTCTCAATAAAGAAGACCAACATGCCCAGACCTGTGGAGTACTAGTACAACAGATTCTCACACACCCAAGCATTCAGATTGACAAGGAAAAATGGATCAGAACACTTTAATCCATGGATGCACAAAAGAACTCCGCACCGAGGCCAGTCCATTTAGGGCTTCACTTGTTCCTGGGTGTGGTGGACTCGCCGATATAAAAATCCTAGGCGGTGCCCGGCCGCCCCCCGGTGGTGGCTCCTAAGAACTGGGTACAGTTCAATCCGGGCCACAAAGTTGCCTTTTTTTTTTTTTTTTTTTTTTGAACAAATTATTGTGGGAGCTGGGAGGAGAGAGGAAGTCGGACGTGGGCGAGGGGCGGGGTGTCTGGACTGGAACCTCCGGGCCCACGTGAGTGTCTGTCCCGCTGCTGAGTGGGTGCTGTGTGTCTAGGTTGCTGTGGTGTAAGTTTGTAGCGTGAACTGTTCACGGAGCTTTGTCGTGCGATGCTGCATGCTTGTGCCACACCTAAAACTGCCATTCGACGTTTTATCCTGAATTGATGCTTTGACTTGTCACGCCTATTCGTTTATTGTGCGATGCTTACCTTTATCTGAGTAGAGAGTGATTGTGGCTTTTGGTGAATGTAAGGCAGGGATTGGTTAAGAGTGGACGTTTTGCATTGTGCGTCTTCTGAGCCAGGGCGACAGGTGTACGGATTAACACGAGGCATAATTACGGATCCTCGTGTTCGATGTGGTTAGTATGGACACCAAACAGCAAGACGGAGTGAGCAGTTAGAGAATTCGAGATAGAGAGCCGCGAACTTCGGCAGCCGTGTCCACAGTGGGAAGGCTCTATGGTCGTAAGCATAGCGGCCTGTCCATGCAACCACAGAGACGTACTGTCGAAGGGGAGGGGTGCGATTTAGCATGCAACTTTTCTCCCGCTGTTCGCCTAACCCCCGCCTTCTACCCTTTAGCGCTCTCCAGAACTCATTTTTTTGTTTCTCATAAAAAGCAACTGGTAATCGCTGTTCCGTACTAAACATCCCTGTATTACGGAGAACTTTGCAAGCCAAGCCTCTCAAGAATGGCCAATCTAGTTAGCTTTTCCTAAAGCGCTCAAGCTACGGCTGTGGGGAAATGTAACCGGAGCTGCGATTGGCGGAGAGGTTGTTTTGAAACCGCCCTAACGGCAAGGGGCGGGCCCTCCGCGACTGACTCTCCTTCCGGCTTCCGAATGGCGACAGGAAAGACGAGGGCTGGCCGGCCTCTTCTCACCGCATTTGATTGGTTGTAGTGATTTTGCCCGCTTGGGCTCCGCGAGGGGCGGGAGATCTAGACCAGTCAGAATGTGTTTTACAGAGCGTGTGAGCGAAAGGCGGCTGCGGGAGACTGGGCGAGCATCCTGAGATCTCCTCGCTCATTGCTCCACAGCGTTACTCCCTTCCCTCATTTGACCGTACCGGGGCCAGCGCGCGGACGTTACCCAATCAGTGCTTGCCCCGCCTCTTGCCTTTTCCCGCCCTCCGCTTTAGCCGCGACTTCGACGTAGGCTAACGCTTCCTCTCCGGCAGCCCCTGAACCCCCTTATTGCTGTTCTGTTGAAAGTCACACTGTGATTGGCCTAGTCTCCGGGCCCGCGCCCGTTGCCCGACGCGCTGACCAATTGACACCCGTGTTACATCGTACGGGTACGGGCCAGGGGGAGGAGGCGACGACGGCCATTTTGAGCCGCCGCCGCCATTGGAGTGGCCCCCCCCATTCCCCCTTCGCCTCCTGACAGGCGAGGTTTAGGGGGGACAGAGCCCTGGGAGGCCGGGCCGGGCTCGGGGGCCGCCCCGGGGGCCCGGGCCATGGATGTGCGCCGTCTGAAGGTGAACGAACTTCGCGAGGAGCTGCAGCGCCGCGGTCTGGACACTCGAGGCCTCAAGGCCGAGCTTGCAGAGCGGCTGCTGGCGGCATTGGAGGCCGAGGAGCCCGAAGAAGAGCGGGAGATCGAGGCTGACGACGAACCGGGCTTACCAGAGCACACCAACGAGGAGGTCGAGACCGAGGGGGGCTCCGAGCTGGAGGGGACAGCGCAGCCACCGCCGCCCGGGCTGCAGCCGCACCCGGAGCCCGGCGGCTACTCGGGGCCGGACGGACATTGTGAGAGTGCGCGGGGCGGGGGGTCGGGGAGCCTGGAGTCCGGGCCGAGGACGGGCTGTGGGGACGCGGGAACTCGGTTTCGCCGAGATCGGGGAGATGGTCTGGGGAGCCTGGGATCTCACCACCTGCCGCCGCTGCACGGGATCTGCGGCAGGGCCCCAGGGCAGCCTGAGGGCGGATCCTGGCCTTCGGTGCTGGGAAAACCCTGCGGGTAGGGGCGGTAGATTTTTTTTTCATTTTTTTTCTAAAGCGACTAAGGTGTGTGAACGAACTGGTGGGGAGGACTCCACATCCTGGGATTGGGAGACCGGAAACTGGTTTCCTTTTTTTTGGGGGGGGGGAATCGGAAGAACTAGAAGCTTTAGGGCAAGGGGTGTCTCGGGGAGGGTCTTGGAAAATGGTGATTTGAGCTGACAGTGGCCGTGCCAGGCCTTACCGTTTGGGCAGGATCTCAAAAGGCGGATTTCCAGGTAGGGAGAAGAATTTAGGGTGCAGGGCTTGGAGAATTTTGAGACCGGTTCTCCGATTTTGCGGTCGGATGGGATACGGGAGATCTGCTTAGTGCTGGGGGTGGATTGGTGCTTTGGAGCTGCGGGTGTCCGAGGCTGGGGAGATGGGTCAGGCGCTTCTGTTTGGCAAGTGATCTTTTAGGGGATACTGAAAAACCAGCAGAAGATTGGTTCCGCCCCCACCTCCCCCACCACCACCACCACTCCTGCATTTCAGGCACAGCTTGGATACCTGGTACTGGGAGATCCGGGCTATCTAGTTGGCTTCTAGAGGAGGCTCAAGAACTTTGGTGGCAAGGAAACGCAGTTTATTTTAATGGACAAAATACCTAGGGGGTCTAGAATTGGGAAGGCTCTTAAGACAACACCCCGTGGCTCCTGCTGAATTGCCTTGCATTGTTAGCTATGAATGGTTTTCCAAACACAGATAATGACTTGGAGAGAATAAGCTGGTAGCAAGTGGATGAACTGTGTGGTGGGCACAGGACCTTTGTGTCCGACAGGGAGTGTGCAGCTAGCACTTGTGGGGGAGGGAAGCATGGAGGATTTGAAGAAGAAAGGAAACCTGTTGATTAGGCTGGGGGCCTCGTATCGAAGCTGAGGGAATATTCCTTTCCAAGAGAGGGCTCCCAAGTCCCCAGAAACAGTGACTTGTGTGCTCAGGGAGTCTGAGGGGAACTTGATCAGCCAGGAAGTGTAACTCTGAGAACTAGGATAAAGCAGCAGAGGAGACCCCGGTGTGAGAGGGAACCTGGAACTGGACACTGTGGCATCCAAGGCTTAGAGTGTTTATCTGAGATGAAGGTACTGTAGAACTTGGGACTAAATATTGAGAGAAAAAAATGAGGCCTCAAAAGTAACTTGGGATTGGCATCTGGTACTCTCTTGTTCATGAGACATGGGATCCTGTGGAGGGGGCACCCTGGGTGTAGAGTGGTCTAGGGATTACCCATGTGCTGGCAAACAGTTCCCTGGGAAGGAGGGAGGCGTGGCCTGTAAATATGTCTGGAGCTGAGAAACCCTGGCAAGAACGGCTTATGAAGGAGCAGCAAGGGTACAGCCCTAACATTAGTGCTGCCAGAAGGGTCTTGGGAAAGGGAGCTGATGCTTCGGAGCCCAGCCTGTGGACTCAGGCAGACTGTGAAGTTAAACAAATAATTTCCTCTCTGAGCCTCTTTGTAAAACGGGAATGATGAGAGTCTCCGCCCAGAGTTGTCAGCCATGAGATCACATGTCTGAGGGACTTCACACCAGGGTTACCTGTTTTCAGGGGGATGTTGTAGAGAGTGGAGAAGGATTTCGCCATTATATCCTCCCTAGGCCAGCCTACCAGAGGAGAGAACATGGGCTTTCTGGGGAAAACACTACCCTGATGCTCTGGAGGAAGCAGAATGGTTTGGAGGCCTTGTGTTCCAATTAAGGAGATGCTCTGTCCCCTGTTGTGTTGTGCGCACAACACACATCCACAGTAAAATCCTCTAAGCCCTCCTCAGGTCCCTCTCCAGCACTTCTTCATCCTTGGTGAATAGACACTGTGACTTTCCTCCCTTTGGGCTGCTCCTGGTTTGTGCCCAGATGTATTTGTCCTCTGAGGAGGAGTTGAGTCAGTTAACAAGTGGCAGCATAGGCTATCCTCC